TGAAAAAAAGGTAAATAATAGTGAAAACATTTTATTTAGATTTATTTATTTTTATTTGTGTTATTTATTACTTTAATAAACTAAACATGATATTTTTACAGCTCTTCAACCTCAGTGAAAAGCGATATGATATCTCCAAGCTGAATCCCAAAGTAAGTAGTATTTACTTTCACTTTTTTAACATCATCTAATGTGGAGATTTTTGTTCCTTTGTTCTTACTCGCACTCCGCTGTGTTTGTTTGCATAAGGTGCTGGATTTTGGCTGGCCGGACCATCACGCTCCAGCCCTGGATAAGATCTGCAGCATCTGCAAAGCCATGGACACTTGGATGAACGCTGACAATGCAATATTTATTTACACACAAATATTAATTAATATGTATTGAATTCATATAAATAATACATATACACATAATATAAACTGTAATATTGACACATTTTATATGTGTAACTTGCTTTTATTTTTTTATTTCATTTATTCTAAAAAAATTTTTTTATAATGCAGAGCTTGTCACAATGTACATTGTACATTTTTGAACAGTTTAAATTTCAAGAATCTCACTAGGTTTTGGAACAAAGCCCTAGATTAAAAGATAGCTGCACTTCTCTCTGGTTGCCTTGAAATCCAGACCTGAGGAGAGAGTGAGGTCACAGATGGGGGGCCTGATTGTGGTTACATCCTTGGCAAGCTTATGCCTCACCAGTGACCAAATTGTTTTCTTTGGTCTGCCCTGCTGCACACAGGGAATGCAGGATATTGTCATATCTCTGTTGTTTATCTCTGCGATCAATCTTTCCCCACTATACTTTATTCAAGTCGTACTGAACATCAGATATGCGTTTAATAGACTGTTCAGCGCTGACATGTTTGAGGTGAGGCATTCTTCTGAAAAAAACTTGATGGTTTCGTGATGTCATGTGCTGTGAGACACAAGACTTGCTTGTGCTTGAGCGAATGATGTGAGTTTGATGCCTTCGATGCACACCAAGGGTTGTAGACATGAATTGTAAATGCTGAAGTTCTCTAACCATTCTCTGATCTTCTGGCTTTTGCAGGAGCTTGAGTCTGATCCAGGCCATGGAGGAAAACTATGAGGTGGACCTGGTCTACATCACAGAGCGCATCATTTCTGTGAGCTTCCCCAGTAATGTAGAAGAGCCGAGCTACAGCGCTAACATAAAGGAGGTCGCCACCATGCTACGCTCCAAACATGGTGACAACTACTTGGTGAGACCTCAAAACTCAATAGTTTTGAGTACTAATATACGTGTTTTAGTAGTTGCAGTGCTATTACAGATTTTGAAAAAAAGGTAAATAATAGTGAAAACATTTTATTTAGATTTATATAATTTATTTATTTTTATTTGTGTTATTTATTACTTTAATAAACTAAACATGATATTTTTACAGCTCTTCAACCTCAGTGAAAAGCGATATGATATGTCTTTTATACTGATAACGAGTTCAAACAGATGCCATTAATACAGGTAATGAGTGGAGGACAGAGGAGCCTCTTAAAGAAGAAGTTACAGGTCTGTGAGAGCCAGAAATCTTGCTTGTTTGTAGGTGACCAAATACTTATTTTACCGATGAATTTACCAATTAATTATTTAAAAATCCTACAATGTGATTTTCTGGATTTTTTTTTCTCATTTTGTCTCTCATAGTTGAGGTATACCTATGATGAAAATTACAGGCCTCTCTCATCTTTTTAAGTGGGAGAACTTGCACAATTGGTGGCTGACTAAATACTTTTTTGCCCCACTGTATATATATATATATTATAGTATTGTGTTGTTAGATTAGCAGCATGCTAACTCTTTTGAAATCCATTCTGCTTTGAGTCTCATAAGGTTTCATGAGAGTTATGATGTTCCCTTAGTAGGCAGTAGCCTGCAGAGCTGCTCACTAGGTTTTGAAACAGAGCCATAGTCTGATGTTTGCCTAATAGTTTTTCCATCTGCACATTATAGTTACTGTAAATAGCAGCCATAGTGGTTTGTCAGTAGATGGCGTTCTCAGGCAGCTCTTCATAAACCCCAGGTTGGTGTGGGGTCATTAAAGGTCATGGTGGTCTGGACAGTGTGATTTATGATGCAACAGCAGGGTTTTTACATAAGAAATCATCACAGATTTATCATTTATCACAGTCATTACTAGGCCATTGTTTTGAAACCCTTTGCCTGACCCTGTCTTGAGGTTCCGGCAAATCTGTTTTCTTAAACAGTTCATTTGAATGTATCCTTCTGATCTGGTTAAGTCACATAGCTGGTTACCACTTACAAACATTAAAAGGATGACAATGCATTTTGAAGTTAGATTGTAAAATGTTTCTTGTTGTTTTTGAGGATAGTGGTATCGTTAAAGTGCCTCGCTAATGAAAGGGATTCTGTCCGTGAGTATAAATGTCAGAAAAACAGCCTCTTGTGGAGTTTGTGGGTTATCTTCACAGCTGCTGCTTCTCAATGGGTCACAGGTCTGTCCTGATATGGGTCTAGTGCTTTTAGAAATCCAGTTTGCTGTATTCCCATTTGATTTCAAACAGACCCGACTCTTTCCACACCCTCAAGATGCATCTTGTCCATTATTAGTGCTCTGTGAGAGCTTTCTCAGCTGCAAAGAGAGGTTGTGATCTGGATTTATAAAGGGCCAGAAATGTCTTAAACACAAATATGCTGCCTTTTTAGCAGGAAACCATAAACACTGCATTGTTATGGCAACTTGTGTTGTTCTTTGTAACAGTGGAAACACGAGGCGATGGCTTGATGGTGGAAATGTTCACTCATTCAGAAAGAACACAACTGTGTGATTAAAATGACTTTAACTATACATGAAATAGTTTGTTTTAAGTTTTTGCTGATCTGATGCATCATAAAGTTTTGGTTATTCATGCTCTAAAATACCTTTAAAGGGGTCATATGATGCGATTTCAAGTTTTCCTTTCTCTTTGGAGTGTTACAAGCTCTTGGTGCATAAAGAAGATCTGTAAAGTTGCAAAGACTAAAGTCTCAAATCCAAAGAGATATTCTTTATAAAAGTTAAGTCAGCCACTCCTACCTAAAACAGCTCATTCTAACACGCCCCCACATATCTATGTTACTATGTGGAAATATTAGCATAATGCCGCCCAAATGTGCGCACACAGAAAGAAGGTGTGGTTTCAGGACTGCAGTAGTGTTGATGCAGTCATGTCAGGGAGACACTGTGTGTTTCAGTGCGAAAGCAAAAGCACTTTATTTGGCCTTCCGGAAGTAGATGCAATTAGGAATCATTGGTTAAGATTTATTTACAACAGAACAGCACAACCCAGATGTTCGAATTTGTGCAACGCATTTTACGGACGACAGTTTTTTGAACCTAGAAGAGTACAAGGCTGGCTGTGCACAAAGGCTATTAAAAAAAAAAAAGGTTCAGTTCCGACTTTGCTATGACAATCTGACGCTTCTGAATCAGCGACTGCGAGTATGTTTTGTTATTAGTTTAAGTATTTGCTATTGACTGTTCAAATGCGGAGTTTTGTGCAGCGCAGAATAACGCATTGTGTGTGTGTGTGTGTGTGTGTGAGAGGGGAACGAACAGGGTCACATCACAGGAGAGTGAACTGCCTGTCAGAAATCATAGCACGTCAGCTGTCTTAACCGCGGCTTGTGTACTGCATCATCACTGTGTCTGTCACGTGACTCTGTTGCCCTTTCGGGCTTGAACTGATGGTAAAACTAACAACATTATTAACTGTCTTGATATTTACTTTGAAAGCTGAAGCTGCGATTATGGTAAGGATTTATGGTACATTTCTGACGCGTGCTTGTGGTGTTCAGCCAATCACAGTGCGCTGGGTCAGCTGGCCAATCAGAGCAGACTGTGCTTGTCAAAGGAGGGGGCTTTGTTGAAAACGACGTGTTTGAGAGAGGCGGGGCATAGAGGACCTACAATAATTTACAGTATTTGAAAAATAATGTGTTTTTTTAACATTGAAGCATGTCAACATATTATGTTACACCAAATACACAAAATAATGATCTTTAAAATAGCATCATATGACCCCTTTAATGCTTTGGGTTTAATTTTTATATATTCCATTTACATTTTACATTTTGTTATTTTTAGAAATTTTGTTGTATGTTTTGTTAGACATACATAAACTATTTAGATTTTATTATTATTATTATTATTATTTTTTTTAATTACAGTTTTAGCTTTTCTTTTCAGTTTTAGATTTAGTAATTTTAGTACTTCAACTTAAACTAAATGAAAATTACAAATGCTGCCTTGGCAACTAATTGAAACAAAATATGTTTCATTTTTTATATTTATACAGTTTATTTTATTTTATTACATTTTATTAAATTTTACTGTATTTGAATGTAAACGTGTTTTAATAGTTTTAGTTAACGATAACACCAGCTAATGATACTTTACGATTTTATGGTATCATACATATGATATAAATAATATAAATAATATATTTTTAAATATTTTTATTATATTATCACACATACTGTTTTTTGTAATTTGTGCAAACACAATTCAATGTTTTGAAAGGCAAACACTAACTATTACCACAAAGCATCTCATAATTTATCCATTGCTAATGTTTGTGGTACTGTTTTCTGGGGTTAAAGGGGTTTTACAAATAACTAACTGGGGGGGGGGAAATCATAAGTACAGGAAAAGCCAAAAAAATTATTCTATTAAAATGTATTAACTTTATTCTTGAGAAACATCTTTTGTTTGAATCCTATTGAATGTTTATATATATATATATATATATATATATATATATATATATATATATATATATATTGTGTGTTTTATGTATAATTAACTTATATAAGGTAATGTGAATTATATATATACATATTGCCAGTTTTTGATGTTAGAAGTTCACTTAATTGTAACTAAAATGGAGTTAAATATTCCATATATTTTTACACGTATATAATGGAGACATGAAATAATGTATTGCATTCATTGATAATCCCATCTTCCTCTCTTCTTGCAGGGAAACCGAGGTCGAACGGGGGTAGTTGTAGCTGCGTACATGCATTACAGCAACATATCAGCGAGGTAAGATGTGTAGACAGCATACTGTCTGTGTTTATTGAACTAAAGATGCTCCTCTGAGCACTTAATATGGAAAGACCTTAATCCCACATCACAAGACCAGCCACGCGTTAGGTAACACATGAAAAACAAGAAAAGCAGCTGCCAAATTGCATCATTTTACAAAGGCGGATTTGTCTCAAGACTCAAATTAAGTGCTGATCAAATTCATCCCTGATGCAAAAAAGTGCATTCATGCTATTTTTATGGACAAAAAGCTTCCAGTAAATTCAAGAAGCACATTTAAATACTATTACTGGAAAACAAGACAAAGATGCTTATTATGAATATGACTTTTTTTGTATTGAAGAAAATGGCCCAAGCGTTTGCAATAATGTAAGTGTTTGCTTTGCCTCTGCAGTGCAGACCAGGCTCTGGACAGGTTTGCCATGAAGCGGTTTTATGAAGATAAAGTGCTTCCTGTGGGTCAGCCCTCCCAGAGAAGGTCAGTGGTGCTTTGTTTTCCCCATCTGACCTCTTATCCTTTGTGCTTTATGAGTTTGACCCTAATTGTGAGCGTTCAGCTTCAGCCATTGTTTAAATGTATGAGCTTCACCCTCCTGATAACGCTGCTCCAAACATGCAAACAATGCTTGTGTAGTTTTGCTAGGTTAAGTTAGGTTATGTTGTTTAACTAACCGTACCCTATGGCAGTGTGATATATCCTTAAAAGTAAAAATACTTGATGTTGCGTAATCTCTCCAAGGTTTCTAAGCACTTCATGTCTAATCTTGCCTCAGGACCACCATCTCTCACTACAACTGGTCTCAGATCAGATGTGCTCAGAGTATTGCTGCTCAGCTCACTGCAATGGCCAAATACTAGGATAAATAGTACCATTTTATTGGTAACATTGTATTTTTGGTGTACAAATTACATTTTTAGTAAGTAGTACATTTATATATCTATATACACTATGATTCAAATGTTTGGGGTCAATGTGAAATTAATACTTTTACAAGGGCACATTAAATTGATCAAACATAATAGCAAAGACATTTATAATGTAACAAAAGATTTCTATTTTAAAATAAATGTTGTTCTTTTGAACTTTCTATTCATCAAAGAATCCTAAAATATGTATCTCACTTTTCACTAAAATGTTAAGCAGCACAACTGCTTTTAACATTGATAATAATAAGAAATGTTTCTTGAGCAGCAAATCAGCATATAAGAAAGACTGGAGTAATGATGCTGAAAATCCTGCTTTGCATCACAGGAATAAATTACGTTTTACAATATGTTCAAATAGAAAACTTGTATTAATATTTCACAATATTTCTGTTTTTACTGTATTTTTGATCAATTAAATGCAGCCTTGGTGATCATAAGAAACTTAAATGATAGATAGATAGATAGATAGATAGATAGATAGATAGATAGATAGATAGATAGATAGATAGATAGATAGATAGATAGATAGATAGAAAAGTGTACATATGGTTTGTGTACATACCTATACACACACCCATTTATGCCTCATAAGGGAACACTTGGCCACGGATGTGCTGCTTTTACAGAATCAAGCTTTCCATCTGTATATGGAAGGACTGGCACTTCAGGTTTCATTAAAACTAGATTTCATTGGGGCACATACTTGCGCTCTCTTTATGGAAAATGGAAAGGCAGAGTCATGGTAAGAGCTTTACTCCAGGAGGAAAGAAGCAGCTTGTGATTTCTGCTCTTCTGGAATAGAGAGGCCCTGGAACAACTGAATGTTCATGGGAAACCAGGCCTCGGGTGCTCGGCCAGAAAGATGCAGAAGCGCTGATCACTGTCGCTCTCCAGGAACACGACCTTAACGTTCAAGAAGAAAAAAAGGCTTTTTTTCCTGTTTATAAAACATAACATCTGTGCCAAGGGTTTGAAATCGCAGCAGATGAAACCATCTCATGACCCTAAATGGTCCTCACAACAATGTTTTGATAGATGTTATGTAATACACACTTTCATGAATATGTCTTGCTTGAAACCTTGAAAGTTTTTAACACACTCCGCAAGATTATACTGTACAACAGATGCATCTGTGTTTCCTAAATGGGTGTTACAAAATTTAAACTTATTGTAAAGATTTATTATATTATTTAATATTATTATTATGTTGTTACTTATTGTAAATTATTATATTGTAGTATATTTAGAAATTAACATTGACCTAGATTAATAAATGCTGTAAAAGTATTGTTAATTAATGCAGTAATGCTAATGTCTTTATTAACTGTTAACAAAATGAAACTTTTTTATTATAAGTTTTTAGATAAGTACATTTTATATATTAAAATTGTATTTTGTGTATTTTTTATTTTAATAGTTGTTTGTATTTTATTTAAATGTAACATTTTAGGTATGTGCAGTACTTCAGCGGTCTGCTCTCCGGCCATATCAAGATCAACAACAAGCCCCTGTTTCTGCACCACGTCATCATGCACGGGATCCCAAACTTCGAGTCCAAAGGAGGTGAGCTGAAATGCTCTGACCGGTGGCCATTTGTCAGAGACTGTTGGAGGTGTTGAAGGCAGGTTTGAGTCTGTCTCGACTCCTGCTGCTTTTGACGCCTCCTTGTCAGACTGACAACATGCTGCTCTATTACACACGTCTCGGGGGATCCGATCACAAGAGGTCAGCGCTAAATACAGGTGTAGACGGGGTCCAGAATGTTTTGTGATCCGATCACTGAAACCACAGTTGGAGGGATTCAGAAACATGTGACCGCATCGCATTTGTAGTGTAAATTAATCCATCCTCCCTAGACTGTGACATGGGGCTTGATTCTCAAATCAGTGGAGATACATTTGAGACGTGTGTAAATACCTGAAAACATTATATAAACATTAAAAAAAGTATATTTCGAGATGCATGTTAATACTGGCTATAAACAGGATCTGAGAGAGTTATAGAGACAATTTCTGCTCCAGCACTTTAGATATTCCACTTCTAGAGCTCTAGTAATACCTTCTTTGTTCTCTCTCACTTTCTCTCATGGTTTCTCAGGTTGCCGCCCTTTCCTTAAGATCTACCAGGCTATGCAGCCCGTCTACACATCTGGGATCTAGTAAGAAACACCCCATGTTTTCCTACATGCTATTGCTCATGATTCCCTGGCTTGTAGCCCAGCCTTCAAGACATCCAATCACAGGCGGGCCTCTGTGTTTGGGGGGTTTCTGAATCACACACCCTCAGAGGAGCCCACATGTGCTTTTCCCATACATCACTGAACTCGGCCTCTGTAGCTTCCTGCACGCTCTTGTGTTGTTATCAGAAGGGATGACCCTTTCTGTTAAATGCAAATAGAAAGATGTGTTTGGCAGCCATGCATTGAGAAGTTTAGGCACATGTTTGTTTGGGGGGTTTTGTAGTTAATGGTTATGTGTCTGACTGATGTTTGCAGTAACGTCCAAGGAGACAGTCAGACCAGTATCTGCATCACCATTGAACCCGGCCTGCTTCTGAAAGGAGACATTCTGGTAAGTCACCTTTCAAAACACAACAAAACAAAACACAACAAAACAAAGCACAATGAAGCCAATCAGAAACGTTTTGTCAGAATTCACTCACTGTTGAAAGCGCCGCAGTTTTTAAGTGCAGCTTTGCACGCTCGTGAATCATCTCATGACTAAAGGCCCTTTCACATGGTACGCGGCAGTCGCAAGTGTCTAGTTCATTCTCAATGGGAGACATGCGGAAAGTGGCAAAACGCGGGCGGTTTCGCTGGTGGTGCGGAGGCGGAGCACAAGCTGTTCTCCTGCACCCAAAATCCTGCCACTTCCACGGGCAACGGCGCTTTGCGGCAGGCGCCGCCAAAGATAAAAATATTTTATGTAAAATATGTTGGTTTAATTCTGGAACCGGTCCTGGCCAAACCTCCACAGACAGTGCGCGTCCCGAGCGAGATCTAATTCACGGACCAAAAATGTGTGTAAACTTTATTGAGATCGGGACATTTACATTTACATTTTACATTTAGTCATTTTGCAGACGCTTTTATCCAAAGCGATTACAATTGGGGAATACATAAAACAATTCTTCTTAAAGAGGCAAACAGACACAGGAAGTGCTTGAAATTGTTTTAGGCATTGTTCAAATAAGTACAAGCTAGAAAGGGAAGGAATAAATAAAGACACTTTTTTTTTTAAGATTAAGTCAAATAGCGTTTAAAGAGATGAGTTTTCAGCTGTCGCTTGAAAATTGTCAGGGATTCCAGATAGGGGTGGGAAGATCATTCCACCAGCCATGAACGGTGAACGAGAATGTTCTGAAAGTAATTTTGAGCCTCTCTGTGATGGTACCACGAGGCGTTGCTCACTAGCGGATCTCAGACTTCTGGAGGGGATGTAGATTTATAGTAGTGAGTGAACGTAGGCAGGCGCTGAGCCTGTGGCTTTTCTATATGCAAGCATCAATGTCTTGAACTTGCTTGATGGAAGTCCAGCCAGAAGAGCATTGCAGTAGTCCAGCCTAGAGATGACAAGGACCTGGACAAGAAGTTGTGCAGCATGCTCCGTTAGAAAGGGCCTGATCTTTCTGATGTTGTGCAATGCAATGTGGTCTTTGACGGTCAGCTGGTCATCAAAGGTTACACCAAGATTTCTGACTGAAGTCGATGGTGTAATTGTAGAAGAACCTACCTGGATGGTGAAATCATGCTGTAGAGTTGGAGTGGCAGGGGAGACAAGAAGCTCAGTCTTTGCCAGGTTGAGCTGTAGGTGATGTTCTTTCATCCATACCAAGATGTCCGCCAGGCAGCCTGAGATCCGTGCAGCTACCGTTGGATCATCTGGTTGAAATAAGAGATAGAGCTGTGTGTCATCAGCATAGCAATGGTAGGAGAAGCTATGTGCCTGTATGATGGGACTTAGTGATGTAGGGTATATGGAGAAGAGGAGGGGTCCAAGAACTGATCCCTGAGGAACCCCAGTGACCAGTTGATGAGCTTTGGAGACCGCCCCTCCCCAGGCTACCCTGAAAGACCTACCAGTGAGATAGGATTCAAACCAGCGAAGTGGAATCCTTGTGATGCCCAGTGATGAGAGTGCAGACAGGAGGATCTGGTGATTGAGAGTGTCAAAAGATCCAGCAGAATAAGAACTGATGATTTGGAATAAGCTTTTGCCATTCGCAAGGCTTC